TTATTCGCCGGCGAGATTACATTTGCGAGGCATTTCGTGGTCACTGATTTTTTTTTTCCAGCCCGACTGACATTACAAAATGGGTAATTTTCAATTGTTTCATTCAACCAAAGTTGTCATCCAGTCATATTATGCCATCCCTGACGTTTGCATATTTGGGTGCAAATAACGTTTTCGCCGCAGAAAGAGAGTGACTTCCCTTTCCATTCATTCCATTGCAGGACCTCTTCTGTGTTGCGGGGTGTCATGTATTCTTTATTGTCCACGCTTTAACTGCTCTCTGTTTTCTCGTCTTATTGCGTGATTATTTTCACGTTCTGTTACATGTGCGACTGCTCTGGAGTATGGAAACTATGATGTTTTTCTGTTCATATGTTCCTTGCTAGTGCCTTCAGCACATAAGAGGTAAACACCCGGTGACACAAAGTGCCACCATGCGGATGAGGATCACCCCTTGAGGGGTCTCGGAAGCCGCGTTCAACGGTAGGGTTATTTTGCAGCCCCTGGGAATAGCCAAGGGAAAGCTTCAGAATAACGAACAATTTGCACCCCACAATGGGACGACTTGGAGATTAATTCAAAGAGCTTCAATAATTATTTTAACAACTCATGATATTGTTTCTCGTCCTACAAATCTTGGTATATATCTTTTTAATCAAAAATTTGCTATGGATTCATATTTCTTGAAGACAATATCGCGTTTTTTTAATTTTTATTGCATCAACAAATTGCATTCTTTATTTTTTATTCAGCTATAAAGCATTGTATCGTTATGTCCTTTTTTATTTCTCTAAAATATTTATGTAACAGATCCTGTTCGATGTCATCCGAAACGTTTTGTTGTAACAGCTTGATATCCCCCGTGCTTTTACTTTTTTTTCTCTCCCTTGCCAATGCAAACCAAGAGTGTGCAATTTTTGTCTAAATCGATTACAGGATTACTCCATAACTGTCTTGCTTGATTCTTCTTCTTCTTCTTCTTCTTCTTCTTCTTCTTCTTCTTCTTATTATTATTATTATTATTATTATTATTATTAATATTATTATTATTATTATTGAGTTTATTAAAATAAGATCCGCTACTAAATCCTTGATTTTATGTATTTTTTATTCTAATTCCAAAAATCAGCAGATGATTTGGCAGATCTAATTGAAAATTCCAACAGCATTAATTCCCCTGGATGACAGTTACGGTTTCAAATTACAATACATTTATGTAATTTTCAGGGTCATATTGTATACATTATTTCATGTTCACCCAACGGGCCCATTTAAAAATTACAATTTTTAATTAGAAAACATCATTTAAAAAAAAAAAAAAAAACAATAATGGAGTGTCGACTCTAGTGTATCCACTTCGGGATGATCGCCGGTGTTGTGTTATTTTTTTTTTTTTCACTGTGATCTTATCTTGCATGAGGAGACGAGCAGTTATTATTGAGATGTTAGGGCAAATGAAACGGACCTCTACTACGATATAAAGATGTGTGCAAGCGGGACATGAATGATACAGATATTGAGGTGAACTCATGGGAACAAAATGCCATGGGCCGTATTGTGTGGAAAGGGCATATCAGGAAGGGAATGAGACTGAAAGAAGAAATGATTGCAGAAAGGATGAGAGCTGAGAGTCTGAAAAGAAACGGATTAAACACAAATGTTGACGACAATGGTCCTGAAATCCCATGCTATCATTGTGGAAGACTGTTCTTGACACGGGCGGGTCTTGCTAGTCACACTCGCCATCGCCATGGGCTGTGAGTCTCATGCCTCCTCATAGCACAGTATAAAACTATCGTCTGGAAAGACGGAAAGGTGCAAATGAAAGGTGCCAATGAGGGCAAATGAAATGACACTTTACAAACTATATTATTGCAAAGATAAGAAGGAAGTATACGTTTGACGGCCTATATGGATGGCCAATACTCTTTAGTGACATACTGCCTCTGCAAAGGCTTGAATCCACTGAACTATGATGAAGAAGCATAATGAAAAAAAAGGGGGGGGGGGTTAGGGCATTTGAACCTTTCGGCAGGGTCTTTATCAGTAACAGAAAAACTATAAAAACAAGAAGGGGGGGGGGGCATGGCAAACAGTCCCCACACAAGAAATCGCGTGAATAACTATGAAATATAGGAAGAAGAAAGATTATATGGAACCAATCAAATGATTAAAGGATATAAGAAACTGATCTCAGTAGTATTAGGAAAAATAGTAACAACACCATAGAAAATGATACAAAGAATAAGAATAAAAAATATGAAGGAAAAATAAATAATAACAATAACAGGTAAAAAAAATTATAATTTTTTTTTCATAAAGGAATGCTAAGCAATAGTTCCTGCTGGACTAAGAAAACTCAATCTATGAAAATGTCTATTTCCCAAAGATATTCGCGTGGTTTGATCACAAGAGTATGATGTTTTGGCGGTGACAGAGTCTTCGTTTTCGCTTCTGTGGTCAGGACTATTAAAATGGAGAGAGACTGATTTGAGTGACTCCTTATGATTATCCAAGAGATGTTCACGGACCCGATATGTATCATTTCCTTTACAGAACGTCGCTCTCTTTAAGGTACACATGAAAGTCTCTCTTTCTCTAGCCAACTATCCATCCTTATATGCTTTCATAGTCAATGCATCTTTAAAGTCCAGTATCCACCTTTCGCGGAGGTGGGCCTTTGCCTCGTTTGCCGGTGCTGCACCCTGCATCACCGTTCTAGCCAGACCACCGATCAGTGAAGAGCTAGGTGGAAGCGGCAAAGTTGTGGTGTTTTCAGCCGGTGAAAAAATAGGCGTAATGAGAATATCATGAACAGATACAAAGTCTTTCGGTCAAGATGGCGTGGAGAGTAGATATTTATTTGTCGGCCAGCGTCCAGCTGGAGTCTGTTTCGGATATCCGAGAGTGAAAGTGGGGTTATTGTAGTCTGAATGTGAGTCTAGTTCAGTTGTGACATTCTATGAAGTTTGAAAATACTGGGATTCGTCCAGCAAACCGACAGTTGTTGATTTAGTGCTCCTAGAAAAACAAACATATCTCCAGTACCGACTACAATGAAAGGGTACTTCAAATGGCATTAATTTTGACATGCAAGCATGTGAATATGAACTCTACAATAGCACTTTTCAACAAATATTCTCACCAAGCTATGCTATTAATGTCAAACATGGACACTGCCTACAGAAAGAAAATAGTGATGACATAAATGAAACGTTCACTTATCATGCGAGGTGTAACAAGGAGAAATCGATTTAGGAACAATGACATCAGGAGAAGAGTCGGCACAGAACCAATAGTTACATTTATGGGTAGACAAAAGATCAAGTGGGGTGGCCATGTAACAAGATTGACATCAGACAGAGTACCGCAGAGAGCAATGTTATACAGATAGAAAGGTAACAGAACCAGAGGTCGACCTCTCAGAATATGGAGCGCTAAATATCACAGACACTGAAAAGTAATTTACCCAAAGCCAACAGAAGGACCTGTTCCAGAGATCTCTTCCTTCCTGACGCTGCGAGGCCTTCTTGAAGTGGAGAAAAGAAGAAAAAAATTATTAAAAAAACAATGCAAAGAAATTAATTACAGAAAATGACCGATTACCCACATCGAAGTAAGCCAGTATACATTATCTGGGCACGATGTCAAAATACAACAGCTGAGGAGATGAGATAATATGCTGGTCAGTTTAACATGGCACCGAAGAACTAATTAACACACGGGGCAAACAGCTTGGGAGCGAAAAGCTTGGGACATGGAGCATGAGAAAATACTGTCTGTCTTAACCCAGCCCATGTGTGAGAGGGAAAGGAGTGACTGAAACCTGCCACCACCAGCAGCAGCAGTGGCGATGTCTGTCGCCGCAATATTGGTGGTGCCCGTATGTGATTAACATTGACATCGTGTGCAACTGCTGATCTGTTGGTGACTTCTGCTACCATCGATGATGAACTGCATTTCTAATGTCGGGCTATTTGTGTTAGCACTTCCTATGGCTACCGTATGCTTTAATGCGTGTGTATGCTAGTGCATATGCTGAGATAGCAGTCTGTCAATCTTTCCACAAGGGACTGCGACGAACATTCTGTGTGTTTTTCGTTGGCACAGGAGTGGAGCAACTATGGGGTGACCCGTTTGCTATGAAGCTGAAACTAAGATTACCAAGATTACCAAGCAGCAGAAATAAGTGTTTTTGTTTCCCGACAGTACGTCTTAAAGTTTGACATTTGCATGCTTCTTGAAGAACGTAATGTAGCTATGTAAGATAATAATGACCCCACATAATTTATATAACGTATATATATATTACGAGGGTCTCCTTGTCGAGGCCGTTTGCCTCGCGCTCTGAAGGTGGTGGGTTCGCTCCATGGCTGCGCCCTTCAGTTCACGAGTGCAATGATTACGTAGAGAGAGAAACTGAGCCATATGGAATAAAAACCGGGTGAATTGAAGTTACAGCACAAACAGTGTTTCATAATGACTGGGCCAACTTTTTAGTTTTGTACCGAAACAGAGAAACAAAAACAAAAAAAAAAATGTTTGGGCAATCACTAGTATCAACAGTTACAAGACAGAGAAGATGGCGCTTTAATTGATTCATTCTGAGAAGAGGCGATCAGAGAAAGAAAAAGAAAAGAAAAAAAAACAGGTACTGAAAAAAAAGATATAGATGAATTTAGGAGACAGAGACGTCCCAGGGAAACCCTAAGACGAACGTCTATGAAAAAGGCCAGGTGTGCTCTACTGGATTCCATCAATGATATTAAAGTGATTGCGCTTTATAGAACAGGACGGGGGGGGGGGGGGGGGGGGGGATGAGAAAAATAGACTTCAAAATAATATATATTATTTCACAACATGGCAACGAATAAATGAATCTTAAAAGAGCAGATAATACTGGGTAGTTAGCATCCTACACTCTGGATTGCTTATGGTCATATCCTAAGTGTTATTGGGTAACGTCTATTAAAATATAACCAATAATCAATCATTTACAGGAGTCGCGACTAAAGCGCTACCTGGTATGATGACTGGACGTAGTTTAAACAGCATCCTGTACGGCAATGACGAGTTACCTCTTCTAGCGAATCAGGACGATTCGTATCTAAACGGAGATCTTCTGGAGACACTTATAGACTCGCCCAGAAAAAGGCAGTGGTGTCGGAAAGGAATGATTTACAATCATATGCTGGGTACCTGTACGCTTTCCTTGTCTGTAAGTATGCGCACTGTGGGAATATTGTTGTTGTGTATGCCATAGGAGCTGGAACCTGGGGGGTCAAGCTTCATGAGCTCCCATTCCTTATTTGTCTACAGACAAAATAATAATATTTTCCTCCTTGAAAAGGGGGGGGGGGCGGGGGTGTGAACTTCGCCATTGCTTGGGTGCTTGTTAAGAGCAGAGCCCTTCGCCTCCTCCCCCACCTTTTCCCAACATAAATAAATGTGATATTTAACGATATACAACTATCTAGTCGTCGTGGCGTTGGTGATAGACGCCCGCCTGCTGTTCGGAAGGCCATGGTTTCGCTTCCTGGCAGAGCTGGATATTTTTTTGCAAAAGGACCTCGACTCTTAGGTCGACCCAGTATTGAGTGGGTACCAGGTGCAGACATGAGAATTAAAGGCGGCCGGCGTGGTGCTGACACATCACCCACCAAGTGCCGATTCCTCTACAGTAATATAGGTCTATCCCCATTCCCAATACACATAAAGGCGAGGAAAATGGTCCTTCTCTTTACCAAGAAAGAATCTTCATTAGCTACACCAGGGTTCAATAACTGAAAACACGGCGATGTTATCACAGAACATAGAAAATGGAGAAAAACCTCGAAACCTCATGACATAATTTTTGACCAGGCAAAATAAACTACATGTATGGATTATTTGTTACTTGAACGACATCATTCAGAGTAGGGATACTGGTAAAAGTGTTATTACATGCGGTTTCTGTAATTCGCTTTAGGGTTTTGTCATTTCATAAAGAAAATCAGATTACTGTTCAGAACAAAATGGCAACTTGTTGGGTATACTAAAACTGCTGAGTGAGTCTGACCAAGATTAGTATAGATTCCACTCCAGACATCTCAGATATAGATTAACTGAAATTAATGCTCGCAACATTTAAGGCTGTGAGCCTGTGGAACGTTCCACGATGTTCTTCCCAATCTTTTCTAGTGGAGCAAAGAATCCAACAGACACTGTTATAGATTTTCCTAATGAGAACAAAGTTCCCTTATCATACTGACGTGGTCAGCCATACGATTTGTCCTCAGATATGTCTGGGCGATACACCGAATCTCTCCTTTTCTACCGTTGATCTTCCCAGTCGTCACAATATTCACCAACACCCCCCCCCCCCTTTTCCCCACAATCCCATGATCAAAGAACAGTTCTTGTCTTTTCCTTATAGCTATCTAAATTAGTTAATTAATCGGTTACTTTAATTGTTTTTGTCTCTCGTGAAGGGAATTCTATGTATACTACTATTACTATTTTATTTACCCTCATGTGTGTCATATTCAGAGCCGTCGTTTTTTCCTCACCTCTAAATACAGCGGGATTCGTTTGGTTCCCTTCCTAATCTATCGTTATAACCGCATTAAAACGCTTCTATTTTTATGTTAAACTTATTAAAATGTAATGCTGTTGTTAACATTTTTGTTGTTAAAAACATTTCCCCATCCATTTTCAGGCATTACGTGTGAGATCTAGGCGGCAGTGACGCATGAAAGCATTAAAAAAAACTGACAGATTGTACGAGAAAGTCTACAGGCAACTGCAGCTGAACACTTTTCACATCCATTATATCTGCTGGTTCCTGCTGCCCGCGTTGTCAACTATTTAAACCATGGGTCGCTAGCCTTTTTTATTTATTCCAGTTTCGTCCTTTTTAGGATGAAATTTTTTGTTATTTGAAGCCCCACCCTGGCTTTTGCCAGGGGGCCGCAATATAGGCAGGACATAAATGTGGCCAATTGATTGAACGCGGTTTCTGGGACCTCTTCACGGCGATCCTCATCCACATGGTCATCGTGTGTTTATCGCTTGTGTGATGTCCTGGTGGGGTAGAAAGTCAGTCAGTCAGCCTTTTTCAGGTGGTGATAGTTTCAGGTGCCCCTTTTAGACTTACCTTGAATGTTGAATTAGGAATCAACATTACTGCACTTGGGACATATCCATAAGCGCTCAGTCTCCATCTTCAGCAGCAAGCGCAGAATTCCCATTCCTATGGCATAAGTATTAGTCTGATTGTATATCAGTTTTTTTTAGGTTGACTTATGATTTCCGATATTTTTACTTGATTACGATTATAGCATATACAATTTGACACAGTTTTATACTGAAGAATATGAAAGAAAGGAATATTTTTTTGGCGTTTGTGAAGAAGAGAAAGCTAAGATAACTACGTGTGTAATTTCCCCACTTAAAATGAACAAACAAACAACAACAAAAAAAATTAAAAAAAAAAAAAGGATTTAAAAAATAAAAAGAGACATACTCCAGCCAGTAATACACAAGTTCTTTTTATAGATACACAATACTGTTTTCATGACATACTGAGAAAAAAACAAGAACAGTATAACAATAATGAAAACGTGAGACTAACATATTTCTGAGTCATTTTATTTCTTTTACTGTCGTGTTTTGTTTGTTATCGTTGTTTGCTGATAAAGGCTTGTCACCGCAACGCCCTTTCTTTGTGTACTGTAACTAGTTCTGTAAAGCTGACATAAACTTTGGTAGAAACCACGCCCATCTTGAGCTATTTCTAAATAGAGAAGGCCGTGGTAGAAACTGACCCACGAAGAGAACTGATTGCCTACATTAAAAAAATACACTCTACATTCTTTGATCATGTCGTATAAAGAAGAAAAGTTGAGAACACCGTGACAGTGGGAAAGTTGAAGGGGAAGAGAGGTAGAGACAGGCCGAAAGAGAACATGCTGGACAGTTTGACATCATGACATTGAGGGTCATCTGCGTCAGAGATGACTGAAAGTAAACAAGACAGAAGGTTGTGGGTAGACATGACTAGGCTATCCTTCGAATAACGGGCACTAAAGATGGCGGCCGCAAAATATCCGTTCGAGCCGCAGTCACGTGTCAATTGCGCACTTCCGGCTACTTAATTGGCAGTTTTCCGCCAACAACCGATACCACCACGTGGCCCCCACGCAGCGTGGATTGGGGCTAAACTAGATGGCTAGGACTCACGAGCAGCAGCTTCCGCATTTCCTGCAGCTTTGCTCGTGAGTCCTAGCCATCTAGTTTAGCCCCAATCCACGCGGCGTGGGAGCCACGCGGCGGTGGCGATAGTCGCCGGAAAATCGCAAATTAAGTAGCCAGAAGTGCGCAATTGACACGTGACTACGGCTCGAACGGATATTTTGCGGCTGCCATCTTTAATGCCCGTTATTTGAAGGATAGCCCATGACTACTAACGCCACACGGCATGAACTTGAAGAAGAAGAAGATACATGGGAAGGGTGACTTCGTGGGCTATTGCAAATTTTCTACGTACGGGAGCTCGGTCCCCTTCTACCAAGAACTACTGGGGCTGTGAGCCCCTTTGAATACATTAATGGAGGGGGCGGGGGAGGTGCAGGGTGGTTACAGTGCCTAAGCGCGTTCCCGCCAAGTATTCAGCAGTTAATTCACTCAGTAATATAAATAAGCAGAGGGGGAACCTTCGAGGCCGTTAAATATTATGAATTAATCAAGTAACAGAAAGAGTATTGATCGGCACTCATAGAAAGAAGTAGATAGATAAAAGAACACACTAGACAACATAACAATCGAAAGCTATAGTTACCGTCCAATTCCCGGCACGGTAACTATAGCTTTCGATTTTTATGTTGTCTAGTGTGTCCTTCTATCTACTTCTTTCTATGAGTGCCGATCAATACACTTTCTGTTACTTGAGTAATTCACTCAGTAATATACGCGCCCAAAAACAGTATTCAACATCATGTTTAGAACCCCATAGGGGTTTGCTACTCTGGACGCTGTAAGGTTATCTGACTATATTTTATTATTATTTGGTAATCTACCGCCACCAGTTAACTCAATTCTGCTGATACAATTTATGGGACCTTCTCGCGTTACGCGACTGGGCGAAAACATTCGCTTCTGACTAGATATCCACTGGGGACAGTAGACGTCTCCAACGCAGAATTGTGGCACGTTCGTTTAGCACTGTGCCATGTTGCAGTCTGATTCACTCAGCTTCTGTGTGTATCTCAGTTGCTAATGAAGCGACCAGATGACGGGTCACATTGTTTCTATTTCACATGGGAGAGACAGGGGTGTGGCAGAAAGACAGACATAAATAATATCATAGGATACATACATACATATATACACGCACGCACTCACGCTTGAATACATTCGAGAGGGCAGACATCGATCACAGATAATTTGTTGTCGGGCAATTTCAGTGACTCGAGCTACCAGTGGCATCAGACAGTATCTGTGTAAGCTGGCGATTGATGCTACATAATTGTCGATCGGGCTTAGACTCCTCGGTAAATTATTATAGAAACGGTCAGGAGGAAAAAAACACGGTGTAGGAATAGAAAGGCTTTTCATACCAATTAACTCTTACTAGTCCCCCCTAGTCGGCTCTGTGGCTAAGTCGATGCAAACGCTTCGTAATGCCGGGTTCGATCCCAGCTGCGGGCCATGCGCCTTGCGTTGGTTTCGACAGTGGTATCAGGGGTGTCGACCGTCCAGAGGCAATGGCAAACTACTGGACGTAAATTTGCCTATAGAAACCTCACAAGAGCCAGGTACTGCTGGGGTTGGTTCTGCAACGTCTTGTAAAGGATACGCAACTAACCTAGTCCCCCCTCCCATATTCTTCTTCTTCTTCTTTCTTTTTCTTCTGTTTTGCGTTTACTGGCTGTAAACTTGGGCGTAAAGTTATGATTGTAAGTCCACTTCTGAACGTTGGTCTTGTTCTAACACTTGAGTTTTGGGTGCACATCTGTTTTACATACATGACTTATTTGTCTGCATACTGTTGAATCCTTGTCTCTCGGGCAGATGCACTTCGACTTCACAGGAAACGTCCATAATTAGTCAAATTTTTCGATACTTTTATTTGGGGTGGGGGTAGAGTGTGGCCATGGTTCTATTTACCCTCACCCACAAGGCCCAGGAAACTACATGGGGTAGGCATACAGTAACACTATATTCTAGCTCTGTATGCCT